GCAGCCGCCCTGGCGCGTGGCGCTCTGGTCGCTGGCCTACGGGGCCGTGGTGGCCGTGGCCGTGCTCGGGAACCTCGTGGTGATCTGGATCGTGCTGGCTCACAAGCGCATGCGGACCGTCACCAACTCCTTCCTCGTGAACCTGGCCTTCGCCGACGCCGCCATGGCTGCGCTCAACGCGCTGGTCAACTTCATCTACGCGCTGCACGGGGAATGGTACTTCGGCGCCAACTACTGCCGCTTCCAGAACTTCTTCCCCATCACCGCCGTGTTCGCCAGCATCTACTCCATGACGGCCATCGCGGTGGACAGGTGAGAGGGGCGGGAGGCCGGGCCGGGGCCCAGGACTGGGTCTGCAGAGGGGAGCTCCTGGAGAAAGTGCGGCTGAACTGGGGTTGCTCCTCTGGGCTCCCCTGTCCCTCAAGCCCTAACTCCTTGAACCCCGCTAGTGCTTCAACGGACCACAAAGGGCGAACGCAAGAGCTGTGAAAACCTCTCTTTGCGCGCAGGGCACACTTGGCTAGAAACATTTAATGCCCGCGCACTTGCTCAAATGACTTGTAATAATGGTGAAAATCCCGCTTCTCCGTGAAGCACGCTTTTTCTCTTACTCTGCGGTCATTCTTCTGGAAGAGAAATCCCAGAGTCACCCAGTAATTCTGGACTCTGGCCCTCACCTGCCTTCTCAGCGCAGCTCCCCGCCCCAGGCTTCTGTGTGCCAGCGGGTCCGGGGTTCAGGTCATCCGTGGAGACCAAGACCTGGGTGTGGAAGTGAAGATGGGCCCAAGGACTGAACAAGCGATGTCAGACGGAGACTCGCTACGTTACACCCCTTTCAAATAATTTCAGAGAGTTCCTCAGCTGCAGGGGGAATTCTGAGATGCTTAAGCTATTGAAAGCAGTGCGGAATCTCTCTCCCTCTCTCTCTCTCTGTCTCTCTTTCTGTCTCTCTCTGTCTCTCTCTCTCTGTCTCTCTGTCTCTCTCTGTCTCTCCTCTCTCTCTCTCTGTCTCTCCCTCTCTCTCTCTCTCTCCCTCTCTCTCTCTCTCTCTCTCTCTCTCTCTCTCTCTCTCTCTCTCTCTCTCTCTCTCTCTCTCTCTCTCTCTCTCTCTCTCTCTCTCTCTCTCTCTCTCTCTCTCTCTCTCTCTCTCTCTCTCTCTCTCTCTCTCTCTCTCTCTCTCTCTCTCTCTCTCTCTCTCTCTCTCTCTCTCTCTCTCTCTCTCTCTCTCTCTCTCTCTCTCTCTCTCTCTCTCTCTCTCTCTCTCTCTCTCTCTCTCTCTCTCTCTCTCTCTCTCTCTCTCTCTCTCTCTCTCTCTCTCTCTCTCTCTCTCTCTCTCTCTCTCTCTCTCTCTCTCTCTCTCTCTCTCTCTCTCTCTCTCTCTCTCTCTCTCTCTCTCTCTCTCTCTCTCTCTCTCTCTCTCTCTCTCTCTCTCTCTCTCTCTCTCTCTCTCTCTCTCTCTCTCTCTCTCTCTCTCTCTCTCTCTCTCTCTCTCTCTCTCTCTCTCTCTCTCTCTCTCTCTCTCTCTCTCTCTCTCTCTCTCTCTCTCTCTCTCTCTCTCTCTCTCTCTCTCTCTCTCTCTCTCTCTCTCTCTCTCTCTCTCTCTCTCTCTCTCTCTCTCTCTCTCTCTCTCTCTCTCTCTCTCTCTCTCTCTCTCTCTCTCTCTCTCTCTCTCTCTCTCTCTCTCTCTCTCTCTCTCTCTCTCTCTCTCTCTCTCTCTCTCTCTCTCTCTCTCTCTCTCTCTCTCTCTCTCTCTCTCTCTCTCTCTCTCTCTCTCTCTCTCTCTCTCTCTCTCTCTCTCTCTCTCTCTCTCTCTCTCTCTCTCTCTCTCTCTCTCTCTCTCTCTCTCTCTCTCTCTCTCTCTCTCTCTCTCTCTCTCTCTCTCTCTCTCTCTCTCTCTCTCTCTCTCTCTCTCTCTCTCTCTCTCTCTCTCTCTCTCTCTCTCTCTCTCTCTCTCTCTCTCTCTCTCTCTCTCTCTCTCTCTCTCTCTCTCTCTCTCTCTCTCTCTCTCTCTCTCTCTCTCTCTCTCTCTCTCTCTCTCTCTCTCTCTCTCTCTCTCTCTCTCTCTCTCTCTCTCTCTCTCTCTCTCTCTCTCTCTCTCTCTCTCTCTCTCTCTCTCTCTCTCTCTCTCTCTCTCTCTCTCTCTCTCTCTCTCTCTCTCTCTCTCTCTCTCTCTCTCTCTCTCTCTCTCTCTCTCTCTCTCTCTCTCTCTCTCTCTCTCTCTCTCTCTCTCTCTCTCTCTCTCTCTCTCTCTCTCTCTCTCTCTCTCTCTCTCTCTCTCTCTCTCTCTCTCTCTCTCTCTCTCTCTCTCTCTCTCTCTCTCTCTCTCTCTCTCTCTCTCTCTCTCTCTCTCTCTCTCTCTCTCTCTCTCTCTCTCTCTCTCTCTCTCTCTCTCTCTCTCTCTCTCTCTCTCTCTCTCTCTCTCTCTCTCTCTCTCTCTCTCTCTCTCTCTCTCTCTCTCTCTCTCTCTCTCTCTCTCTCTCTCTCTCTCTCTCTCTCTCTCTCTCTCTCTCTCTCTCTCTCTCTCTCTCTCTCTCTCTCTCTCTCTCTCTCTCTCTCTCTCTCTCTCTCTCTCTCTCTCTCTCTCTCTCTCTCTCTCTCTCTCTCTCTCTCTCTCTCTCTCTCTCTCTCTCTCTCTCTCTCTCTCTCTCTCTCTCTCTCTCTCTCTCTCTCTCTCTCTCTCTCTCTCTCTCTCTCTCTCTCTCTCTCTCTCTCTCTCTCTCTCTCTCTCTCTCTCTCTCTCTCTCTCTCTCTCTCTCTCTCTCTCTCTCTCTCTCTCTCTCTCTCTCTCTCTCTCTCTCTCTCTCTCTCTCTCTCTCTCTCTCTCTCTCTCTCTCTCTCTCTCTCTCTCTCTCTCTCTCTCTCTCTCTCTCTCTCTCTCTCTCTCTGTCTCTCTCTCTGTCTCTCTCTGTCTCTCTCTCTGTCTCTCTGTCTCTCTCTGTCTCTCCTCTCTCTCTCTCTGTCTCTCTCTGTCTCTCTCTGTCTCTCTGTCTCTCTGTCTCTCTCTCCTCTCTCTGTCTCTCCCTCTCTCTCTCTCTCTCTCTCTCTCTCCCTCTCTCTCTCTGTCTCTCTGTCTCTCTGTCTCTGTCTCTCTCTCTTCTCTCCCCCCGCTCCGCCCCTTCTCCTTGGCTTCCACATTCATCTCTAAGATGCCTGGCTCTGGCTTTCCTGCCCTGGGCAGTAGGAGACCTGAGCTGGTGGGGAGGCCATGTGAGTGTCTGCCTGTTGCTGAAAACTGGTTTCCTTTTAACTCAGCTTTCTGGTAAAGTGCGCCCCGGGAGCAGATTCCAGACTGGCGTGGACAGGGTAGGGAGGTACAGACAGGTCTCCCACACCCCATGCCCTCTCAGCGTTCCCATCTGTGAAAGAGGCTTTCTTCCATTACCAAGCCTATGGAAAACTAGTCCAGCTAAGTATTAATTACTATTACGTCCAGCTACCATTATGAGAAAAATAAGAAAACAAGGATTTTTTTTTCTGTAAATTAATTCTCCATGATCACTTCATGGCAACAGTGAGCGCAGGAGTGTTAATATCAATTCTGTGGGAACCATTTTCACAGCCCAACTCGGAGGGCTAAAGGGAGGGAACAGTGGCCAGGTTTATCTAACTGAGATAAATAAACTCAGGCACAACACTGCCTGGAACTGATGCCCCCCATCCTGCTTCCCGCTGATCTTCCACACAGCCATGCACTCTGGCTACAGTGACCGTGACAGGTCAGCCTCACGTCGGGGAGGTTGGCTGGGCTCTTGCTCCTCCGAGAGGGAAGTTGATGTTCCTTCAGTTTGCACACCTACCTTTGCCACTGTTGTTGCTTTGTCTATTTCTTTTTCCCTTTTGAATTTCCCAAAAGTGCATGCGTGGCTCTTTTAAGGTTGTGATCAGAGGGACAGGCATTGGGATATGATAAAGTGCTCACGGCCTCCTCGAAGTGCTGGTGAGGCAGAGAAAATCTGATGGAAACTTTAGTGTGTGTAAAATGGACATTTCAATTCTGAGGGGTAAAAAGATTAGTTTTCAAATTTCTTCCTGCCAACATTTCTGAAATGCTTTTGGTACTATTTTCACTGATAATGTAATGCTATTTCATTATATTCCCTGGTTTGGAATCAGTATGTACTTTACTATTTATTCTTTTGTACTTTTTATTTCCACTAGAAAACAAAACTACACAAAATTTATGCAGCATAAAATTTGCTGTAAAATCTGACGCACATGGAAAAATCCCCTTTAAAATCATTCTTTAGTCGAATACTTTTCAGCAGAAAATTGATAGAGAAATACTAAAGTGGAGATAAACCCTCTAAAGATTATTCTGAGACTCAGACTAGGTAAACATGACGTCTACTGAACCCTCTGTAGGACAGAAGCCCAGGGAATCTTCTTGCACTGGTATCTTTTTGCTCCTGGACTGGTAATCGAGCCCGTGGGTTTGTAGTCATTCTGTAGGTTACAACTTTTGTTTGTTTGCTTGTTTTGCTTTAGTACAGGGAACTGAACTTGAGACCTTGTGCATGTGAGGTAGGAGGTGGCACCACGGAGCTAAATCCCGGGCCCTGGGTTATGGCTTTAAAGGTTAACGCTTCTGAAATGGCATGTGAGCCCTGATGCCTCTGGTAATGTCTCAGATGGCTGAGAATGCATTTAACAGTGTGTGCTCCTAAAAATATTTTTTCTAAACAATTGATACTTTATTGAAATAACTATGAATATTAAGTATCCCTGGCCAGTTCTCATTAGTAAAAGGATACATCTTGTAGACAGTAGTGTGAACACTTTGGTTATTTAGTGCAAGTGTTCTCCATCTGCATTTAACATACTTTGAATTTTATCACCCTAACCTAAATGAAAATTATATTCAATTCACTCTGGTTCTCAAAATCAGAACATCAGCTGGGTATGGGAGAAAGAGAAAAGAAGTCTTTAGCTCTGACTTGGGCACATGGGCTTTTCTTGAGCTGCAGCAAAAGACCTGCAAGCCTCCTGTGGCTCTTTGAAATATCAGATGTGGACAGGAGTGAGCCCCTTAACATATGCCTGTGCCTTAGAAAGGGAAAATCTTAAACTAATGGTTGCATCTAAGAGGAATAATTACGAAAAAATATTTAACTGAGCTAAGAAGTTTTTAGCCAAATAAATAAAAATGGATCATATACATGACTCTCTTTCCATAATTCCTTTAGAAATTTCTATTTCATAAAGCTGATTTACTCAAATTATTCATAGATCCTCTGGGGGGTATTTTGGAAATAGATTTTGCACATATAGCAAAAATACAATCATGGAGAGCAGTAGTAAGGTTTCGATCCAGT